AACTCTCTGTCAACTGACAACATGTAAAATTTGCAAGTATGTTAAAACGTTTCTGTACTTAAACTTGAAAATTTATTTAGGCTGTAAGCAGCTGACGAGAAGCCAACGAAATAAATGATGGTACCATGTTATTCTGCACAAATCAATGTTGTTCTCGCTTTATTCAAATTAAGGTAAGAATGGTTGACCCCGAGAAGATAAGTGATTTAGAAAAAAGGTCAGCAATTGCAATGCATGCATTAACACACAACCACACAATAGGGTGTGGGAGGGTTAAAATTTTAAGAAGTACTCTATGTAGGTGGAGATAGAGGGAGGTTGAATACTGGATCATTGTTCAGCGAGTCTACAACCAACACGTGCATTAGGAATGACTCATCACTCATACCGGAAATATGGAAAATACTACTACCAATAAAATCAAGTGAAAAATAATGGACCTATATAAATGAAGTTAGGAAGTCGTGTGAGTACCTTGATATGATTATGAGTGGCAATAAATTGTGCTCGAAACCGGGTCATCATTAAATATTACTGTATAAAACTGTGAGACTTTATCAAAGCAAAATTTACCCATAATGGAATTGTATATCACAATAAACGATAATGCAATATATATATATATATATATATATATATATACAATATATAAACCTGTTGGAATAATGAATACAGCGGAAGAAATATATAGACGTTGAGATGAATAACATTGACAGAATTTGAAGGAAACAGATACTGCATGATTTATGATGGCTTCTAACTGGTTGATTTCCAACTGACTGGAGGACCACTATTAATCACAGACATTAGTATATGCTTAAATACAGGAATACAATTCCAATCTAGATTAAGGCTAAATGTTTAGCACACAGCTGACAATAATATATCTCTTCACAGAAACGTAAGATTTTCAAACGCTACATTGCATATATCGCTAAATTTATCTGAAGAAATTATTACTTAGTTTTAATGGTAGTCAGTGCATAAGCACGATAAATGTAAATTAGAAAACATGGGGAACTTTTGTGGGCTGTGCACTGAGTTACAACTGACACCTATAACTGATTGAATTTAGTCTTTTTAACATGAAAACAAATGTGACTTGGTTTAGACCCACATAAGCCGTTAATCTATCAATAAAGAATACAAATGTGAACAAGGAAGATCAGTTTTATGGACAATATTCACTCTCATTTTGAAAAGTAAAACTCATAGTTTAGTATTAACTCTTCAAAACATTACTATTTATATTTGGTTCACTGAGCTGAATAGTTTAGTTTAATACCTTTCATTGTCTTTCTAAGCAATATCTTCAGTGCAGACTACAGAGTGAGCAAATCCACAGCAAAGTAAACCAATCACCTTCAACGCGAGCTGATAAACTTGTGGCAAATTCACAGAGCTTACTTAATATTGAAGTCTCTAAACTTCACTGATAAATTATCTCAGAGAATACAACTACACTAATATCATCCACCTGAACTACAAATTTTCTCTACCGTATTATTATTATAGTTTCCCTTAATTTCTAGAGGAACATAGGGCTTCAGCTACACGTCTCCATTGCGTTCGGTTCTCCGCCGACGCTTTTACCTGGCTCCACGTCCGCCCACATGCTTTCATCTCCCCTTCACATAACCTCCTCCATGTCACCTCACCCTCGCACTGACGACCAACTCGCCGCTTCCCATTCGGGTTCCACTCGAGAGAGAGCCTGGCATGGGATGTCGCTTGATGGTTTTCTCAGAGTATGGCCAATCCACCTCCATTTCTAACTGCACATTTGTTACACAATTGGTTACTGCTAGGTTGGTTTGTTCATTGCCAGAGATCCCTCCCTATTGCTGATCATTTCTGGCCGACCATCTGATCTTGAGTAGAATTGAGCAGAGACAGCGGTTGATGAAGGTCTGTAGTTTGTTTGAGGTGCTCTTTATGACGAACTGGCCAAGTCTCTGATCCATATGGTAGCACTGACTTCACAATGGAGTTGGAAATCAGGATCTTATTTTTCTTGTTTCTTTCAGAATCCTCCCATTTATGCTGATTGTTGTCCGTCGTTGTTGCTATTGCTGTTGGCCAAGAATCTTCATCACCTCTGTTTTCTCCATGTTCACCTGAAGGAAGTCCTATCTTTGATGCTTCTTCCGCCAACTTGTTGCTTTCCACTTGCATATCTTCCAGTTTGTGGGGAGTCAGGCATATATCATCGGCGAAGTCTAGATCCTCCAAGTTTTCAGTGGGGGTCCTTTTTATGTCTGTTTCCTCGTTACCCGCCGTTTGTCGCGCTATCCAGTCACCGCAGTCAGGAAAATCATTGGAGATAGCAGGCAGCCTTGTCTTACTCCCATCTTCACTTCAAAGGATTCCGTAAGTTTCCCGTTGTGGATTACTTGGCATGTAGCATTATCGTACAACTATTGGATGAGGTGTATAACTGTTGGCGGCATCATAATACTGTTTGTTAACTAAACCATGCCCAACACATCAAAGTGCATGAAAAGAATATACATGTAGGTTAATTATCAACCATGTAAATAATATTGATTTTTTGACTGATAAAACGTTGCAGAGTTAAAAATAAATGCAATAATGGACTATATTTCACTTAGTCAGCTGAATAGTACAAGTAACTTGACTGGCAATGCTACACCTCACTGAATAAAATAACTGAGTTTCAGTCGGAAGCAACAGTTTAAAGCTACCCTTTGAATAGTTTTTGAGCAGTCTAATAGGTGAATTAGTCCTTACATATTAAATATATTGGACTGAATAGTGATGTAGACCGTGGAGAGCCAGAAGACAGGAATACGTTGGGCCGACAAAATGACTCTAATAGGTCTGGACTTTGAGGACCACTTATATCTAATGTCAGAAAAACTCAAAGATCTACAGGCGAAGACCTACAAGTTGGCAGAAGAAGTAGTGAAGACAGAACTTCAGATGAACATAAAGGAGGCGGCAAAGGTGATGAAAATATCTAACCAACAACAACGGCAACAAACACCAATCACTATCAATAGAAATTTGAAGAAGTAACTTCTTTCATTTACCTAGCTATGCAGCATCGTTTCAACTAAAGGCGGATCACACGGATGAATATATCAAAACCAGGATCAGAAAGTCAAGACAAACCTTCATCACTTGGAGATCAGTTTGGAAATCTACTACACTAGACATGAAGAACAAGACTCACATTGTCTACGTCAATTTCAAATAAAATTCTATTTGAATCAGAAACTTGGTGTGTAACAAAAGCGTTTCTAACAACCTGCAGACTTTTATCAACAGCTGCCCACCTTCATCGGTTTCATAGTGAAGATGAGATGACCAGTCAGAAAGGATTAACAACCAGGAAATCTGGAAACAAACCAATTAAGAACGCATTGCGCTCAACAAATATACCGAAAAAAAGTAGAGAGATGGAACACACACTGACATCACACGCCGGGCCATCGCTCGACTGGAATCCGAGTAGGAAACAATGAGATGAGTGTGGACGGGGGAATGACACAGAGATTGTATGAAGAAAAGATTAGGGCTTATGAGCGATTCTATAGCCCACGAAAGACGACTGCAGGGGATAGGATGAAGTGAAGATGTGCTATTGAAGTCTTGTTTTCCACTTGGAGCCTAAGAGAATAATAATAGTGTGGTGAGAGCCGTCTGCTTGTCAAAATTGTAGACAACAATTTAAGTCAATGTTTACGTCCCAAATAGGGGTCATGAGAAAAACAATAACAAAGCTTAACCTCTAGGATCTCATCAACCAATCACAGCAGACTTAACGTGTGCAAATACGTATCGCAGATATATGGCTTGATTTTCTAAGAAACGGCCACAAAGAGATTGCAGAATTACCTTCAGCCAGAAAACAACCAATCAGAAGACGCTGCTTCCCTGATATTAATAACGCTAATAATAATGTACATAAACACCTATAAATATCTCTTGCTTTTCTCAATAAACGATCGGTTGCCTGGCCCTTGTATCTGTCGTTACAATAGTAATAATAATATAAGAGCCAAGTTTACACATCTGCATATGTTTACAAAGTTGCGTCAGCATGCATACACAACCAACATTAAAAATTTGATTTCATATAAGTGCAATTAAGTAGTATGTCGTCCTCTTTTGAAAAATAGTGGAGAAGCTTAATGATTATAAGATGAGGTTTAATCAATTTAAAGGTTATTTTCTTTTCACACAGAAATAATTGTTTCATTTTCAACTGACACTATTTTAATGTGCTTCACTATCGAGTATTTGTTTAAATCAACTGAAGATAAGAAAAGTTTCTCATCGACCATGTTACCATAACGAAAAATAAACACTAGATAATATTGTCACAACGTAAACCAACTAACTACTCATGATACATACCATATACTCCAATAATCAAATAAAAATTATCATTATTATTAAGCAACAAAATTTCTAGCATGCAGGAAAAAGATAAAGCAGTGAACTTCAACAACAACAACAAACTTAATGGCTAATCAATCAGTCATATTAATCTGATGCTCATTAGTGACTACTGACCACAGGACGAAAATGCCTGAAGTTCTAATGAGAAGTCGAGACCAGTGAGGTTCCTCACCAGGTCGGCTATGAGGACAAATACTCACTGATGACATTGGCAAGCGGTGGCGCTAAAACTCGCAAATTAACAGAAGTTAGAATTTATGAGTCGTTGGTTTCCATCCCAGTGGCTGAATGGTCGTTCACCAAGGTCCCGTCGCAATCTGAAGATCTAAAGTTTGATTGCCCAAGAGGTCTTGGACACTTTCGGCTGAAAAGTCCCAGAGTAGGGCGAAACAGCTGTTCGGTACTCCGTCCTAGTTTTCAATGGTTCTCTAACTGACAACCATCCATCATCAAACATGAAATAAATCATATCTCCACACACTGACAGTCAAAAAAATAAGTGTACAAGAAATCCCTTAACTTTTTAAAAAACATCAAAAGAAAGCAATAACAAAATTGTTTTGTTAACTTACTCCATGATAGATAGGAGAAAATTCTTAAAGTTAATTCAGCCGGTAACCAGGTAACAAAATCACAACAATCTGGCATACGATGACATGATGAATGAAGGTGTGTAGCTAAGCGTAAACTTTCAAAATGTCCAATAGTTGTTAAACCCTTGAAAAGAAAAATAAAATGAAATATACATAACAATAGAAGCTAATTTATTTATTTTCTCTTAAAAGCATGCACAACAGACAACTCCCATATTCTTCATTTTACAAAATGATCAGTATTACTACAGTGATAATTAACTTATACGTATGTATGTTACAGTAAATATTAAGACACCTTTATTTCATCAAAAAATAAGTTGTTATACGAAGTGCCCAAATTCCAACAGTGTCAAATATCCAGATCGCTGAGATCATGAACCTATCGCTGGTTTCAGAAGATTACGCCTAATGCGTAGAAGACTGTGCGCTGTAACCGATGCGGAACAACAGATAACGTCCGGGCAACACGAATATTTATTACTCAAGCGATAACGACACAGATTTACAGTGGTTAATCAGTGCTAAAGTCTGTAAATAAAGGTTAATTTAATATATAAGAATACTTCTGATTGTATTTCTCCAATCTTCTGTCAAACAGTATACGATTTATTAATGACAGCCTTCTTATCACCCGCCAATGAAGACCAGTTCGAATAAACAAACTATTCAGAGTTAACCAACATAGACAGTATAAATAATTACAAGTATATGGATATACATATCCGCAATAAATGGAAAAAACTGATACGTAAGCTCAGAAAATCTAAAACAGGCTTCTCTTTCTGTTCTTCCAATAAATTTAGATGGGTATTATTATTATTGTTCTTTTGAGTTCCGTGTGGTACAAAGGGCCTAAACAACACACGTTCAGTTTGTCCTATTCTCTAAATTTTTCTTCATCTGACTCCACAATCACCCATAGTCTTTATCTACATTCCGCACAATCTCATCCATGTCACCCAATGACCATTGCCCATTTCGCTGCTTCCCATTCCGATTCCACATAAGCGAAGGCCTGGAGTGTGATGTCACCCAACGGTCTCGTCACCATGTGTCAGATCCATCTCTGTTTTCTTCTACATATTTGTTAAGCAACAGGTTCTTGGTTGGTTCATTCCCGGAGTTCCTTGTTCCCCACACTATCTAGTTGCCCATCTTAACTTCAGTATCGAGGGAGAGATAAGGTAGCTGCTGATAAAATTCTGCGTTGGACTGTTGGAAATGCTTTTCGTGACGTGAGTGTCGAATCTCTGATCCATATAGAACTGACTGACAACATTGGCGTTGAAAATCTGAAATTTGTTCTTTTCTCTGAGTGATGAAGGTCTGTCTTACCTTTTCGATTCTGGTTTGAACATCCTCTAGTTGGTTAGCTATACGTATATATATATATATATATAAAGCTAAAGAAGTAAGTGTATCTGTGGTATACGAGATTGCCTTGTAACTGGAAGGTCCTGGGTTCGCAACCTGGTGGTGAATGCGTACTAACGAATCCCGAACTATGATGAAACAGCTATCCAGTACTCTCTGGTTTTCAGTGGTTCTCTAACTGGTATCAATCCGTGATCAACTCGTAAAAGATAAAGAATTGTGTCAGAAGATTTTCAGTCGACTAATTTTCACTTGAGACAATAACTAAAAAGACACTCACAGTATATCAGTATAAGATATAAAAATACTACACCCAAAGACCCAAGGTAAAGTTAGAGGATAGTAATTCAAGGGAAACGGACGTACCAACGACCGTCAAACTACCAATAGTATCAACTCGGCCAATTCGATCAAAAAGAAGAGAAACAGATATAAACATCTATAGTAAAGATAGAAATGTATATAGATATTCCGTTTAATCTTCATACCCTTTTCACTTGGTTCCAATACCTTGATGTGATCGCTCTCTAAAAGGTCACTGATGAGTTCGTTCCCTTGGATCGCTATACTTTATTAACTTTGCAAAGACAGAACTATACTTTGAAGGAATCAGATCTAAGTTATCGAATGAATCCACTGCCTCCCCTTTTATATTTTTTCTTATTCACAAAATAATTAAATAAGATTTGGAGACCTCTATGTAACGACTTTTTCAAGCCACTCAATTCCTTCGTAACTTTAAAAGTGACGAAAACCACCTTGACATTATTCATTACTATTGGTATTACCACACAACTGCATATGCTTCAGTCTTTATTCTAGCAGTCAACGAAGAAGAGACACTTAGAGTTGTGACGATGATCATAACAACACTCGATACTTCTCTGATACAGAGGTCAGCACTACAATTTAGCAGCCTAATAAGTAGTGATAATAGTAATAATAGCTTTACTTCAAACAGTACTTTTGATACAAATGTGGGATTCTCAGCATGCAGTGCAATATTGAATCTAATTTTTGCTTTACATGACATAAGAAACGGTTAATAATTAAACAGGCCATTTACATTGACCATATTGTTATATAAGAGTATGAATATAAAATTTAATTGGAAATATTACCAACAATACAATAATGAAAGGAAAAATAAAGAGGACCATTCTTGTAGTATTTCGTAGTAAGCTGGTAGTGTCATGCCTTCCACTTTTCTCAACAAATAAAAATGTGTACCAGTCAGATAAGGTTTTATACTTAGTCGTCCGAGAATAAAGTCTTCTATAGTTGCCTATAGTCCTACCTGTGTGATGAAATGCAAGGAGAGAGTTGTCTATAGAAAGGGGCTCAGAGTCCAGCAAGATAATATTCACTAATTTTTTGCATGAGTTCAAGTGTCGTCTATCTACAACAATATTAACGAGTTGGTTAAGCGACACTCCACCCTTTTTGCTGACAGCTTTTAGTGTCCTTCAGACTGCAACAAAGTCTTTCCTAAGTACCCCTAGAAAGATCAAGGAGGAGTAGTACAGAACAGTGGGAGAATACAAGAATTTAAGAACTGTGAAAGTAGACACTGAATGATAATGGACTGTCTTAACTTCTTACACAGAATGTTAAACGATATAGCTTTCTAAAAACAAACACAATGTGGGAGGACCAGGAAAGATTCGAGGAAATACGCAATCCAAGATATTTAACATTCGACTTAGTTTCTAATTTAGCACCATCTATGTGACAGAACAGTCGTGCGAACGAATCAGTTCAGGCAAGTCGCGCTTGCGTCTGAAAGCGAAATACTAGTGTTAACTTTATTGTAATTATCGTCAATTTCCCATTGATTGAATCTACTGAACGAAAATGCTCCAAGTAAGCACGCTTTGACGATGCCTTAAGGTTAACACAATATTATTTCCATGATGAAGGTTAGTAGTGGAATACAAGACAAGTGTTTCATTTTATTAGAGAGTCGTCATTTGGATGTACACACGTCTCCCAATGAGTGGGAGTTTCCCCGTCGGTCTCGAACCTAGAGCTCACTGTTCCAAACGCCATGGGTTATCCACTAGGCTACTGAGTTAGGAGAGTCATCTCTTGTGAAACGGTGTTATTTAAAACACCTGGTTCACACACATTTACTTGTCAAATCAATTTATATGAAAAATGAAAGGCTAATTGAAATATACAAAGTGAAAAAAGACTTAAGAATAAGAATATAAAGAATAATTAACTTTACATTTGGCAATATAAACGGAAAAGAATTACTACAGTAAGTTAAGAGGAATAATTAACTGTTTTTGTACGCATAGTGGGGTGTGGTGTGGTGTGGTGGTGGTGGTGGTGGGGGGGGGGGCTTAAGTTTACGAATAGCTGCCGCCTCAGAGTATTTGCATTAAAACTGGCAAAACGTTTAGCAGACATTTTAAGTCCAGTACACAATAAATTATCGTAAGTTCTCTTTGATAGATACTTCTGAACTTGTTGACTGTCTTGTAGACATGAGTGTAAAGGATATGAAAATGTATTCTTTCGATGTAAAAATACTTTGTTTACTGATGTACCCTTGATTTAGACTGTTAGTATTCTTCGTGATTACATATCTTCTAAGTGACTTGTCTTGCATCCCCTATCCCTCTACCATATTTGGAATCTTTATTATTACTATGTAGTGACAATGTGTCCATTTCACATTTGAAGGTGAGCACTTTCGACAAGTGGATGGCATGGCTGTGGGGAGTCCGTTAGGAATTTTATTTGCCGTTGTGTATTTGTCTCACACTGAAAATCTCTCCGCTGACTTGATTGCTAAAGGTGACTTTTTATAGAGTTTGCTAGTGACATCATTGTGATATGTAATAATCATGGCGATGCAACTCGTCTACTGAATAGACTTAACTCTGTACAAAACCACACTAATCTGCCTCATGTGAGGAAGAAGGTTCTAACCAACCTGCAACCCTAGACATACTTTTGAGCAGGAGAGAGGATGGCTCAATATGCAGTGAATTTACAGAAAGTCTCCTTGGATAGGGCAATATTTAAATTTTCACAGTTTCTGTCCATTACAACATAAGAGAGGATTGGTTAAATGTTTATGTAAGAGAATTTCGTGTATTTGTAAAGCTGATTTTATAGACCATAAAAAATAAAGTATTGATGGATAGATAGCCCTATCGAAAACGCATATCCTTTGAAACTTCCACACCGGTGTAGAAGTCAGTTGGTTGGTAAACCTACACTCTATCTCCCCACCCCATATACGAAAGATGTCTGCATGAAATTACCATACAATCGGGAAATAAATAGTAGGGTTTCAAGACAGGGACTAAATACAATCATCCGTAAAACACGCTCTACAAAAATCCCCAAGCATTACACAAATGACACTATGTCATATCCCACACGATATACTAATTTGGATGTGGGTATATGTGTTTGGTCGCACATAAATACGGGGAAGTAATCACGCTTTTCACGTGAAGGTGAGAGAACATACACTGAAATGGTCAAAAACAACAAACAACCGAACTGTGAAACCTCGATAAATGCAGGTGGCAAGCTACCAACTTCGTCTCTGGTTGAAAACTTTATTAGTATGAATAACAAGATTGGTATCAAAACAGCTTTCAAGACTGCTTATTATAAAATTCGTTATTATCGATTGAAATTATTTTGAATTCCGCGTTAGTTGATTCTATTGAAAGGAAATGCTGTCATGGCACAGTAATCAAGTGGATAACGCCCAAATAACAA